GGGCTGAAAGAGGGTTTCCATGAGACCCGATTTTTTGTATTTGTGCTGATGATTGATTAATAAAAGAACCACTGGTCCAAAAATTTGTTAAAAAAAAAAGATTATAATTTATTTATTTTTTGTAAATATAGTGCTTATATTTATATAGTGTAAGTAGTTCGTCACTTTAAAATATATATATATATATATATATATATATATATATATATATATATTACTAATATTTATTCGTTTATTTGACAATTGTTACATTAGCTAGAGACCATTGTCCCGTTTATTAATTTAGAACCCACAAATATCAAATCATGGCTCTGAAACTGGCTTGAATTTGAAGTTTTGAGTTTGGACACCATAGAAAAAACGATTTAAGAGAATCTATTTTCTTTTTGCGAAAAGCTAAGCTAGCGCTTGATCATAGACTTACAGCATAGATTTTAAAAATTTATCTTTAAATATTTATTTGACTATGAAATTTGATTAGATTTTAAAATTTTGTTCCTTCAAATATTTTTTAAACTTTCACTTACAAAACTTTTTCTCCAAGTAAAACACATTCAAACTCAATTTTAAATTTTAAAAACTTAATTTTTTTAATTTTTAACATTTAATTTCAACTTTATAATGTATGGCCAAATAAAGTTGCTACAATAGTTGATTAAAAAAGAAGTTTACTACGTACTTCTTTACGCCAATATTTATTGTTTTCTATAAATGGTGAGTACTTCAAACAAAAGAACTTAATGTGAGTTGCCTATTTCTCAATTATACACAATGATAAAGAATTAATGGGATAGTGGAGGTGTGAACTCAACAAGCACTATAAATGTTTAGGAGGGAGGGAGAGAGAGAGAGAGAGAAGTGATAAAAATAAGAATGATAAAAATAAAAATTTGCAAAATGATATTGCTAAACATATGGAGTAATAATTTCTATGGTAAAAATTGCTTTCTTTTTAGCTGTGCACAAATATGAAATGTAATTTATTCTTATTGAAATAAATAAACTCAAGAAAAAAAAGTATTTTAGATCATTTATTTTTAGTAAGAATAACAAGTAAAATAAATCGGATGGTATAATAATTAATTTAATAATTTTCAAGTCTATGAATTAAGATGATTACAATCACATACTTTTTTTGTTTCAAAATATTTGTTACAAGTTTCTTTTTAATAGTTAAACGGTGTGGATCTCGATCAATAGATGTATTTTTTCAGCATCTTTTTATGAGAAGAAAAAATGTAATTATAGTGTATTTTTGTATACTTTTTAAAATGTCTAAATTTTATTTTTAAATATTAAATAAATTTAATCTAATCTAACCTTTAAAAATTAGTTAAAAATTGACGCTCAAGAAGCGAAACATGAAAATTATTTTGAAATTGAGGAAGTAATACCTTACAAAAAGTTACAATTATGATTTTCTAAATATTATACGAATTTATGTGTAATTCTTAAGATATTGAATTTGAAGTTGTACATGTGGAACTAAAAATTTCATAATTTTGTCGGAATAATATATACAAGATTTTCGATAACATTTCTATGTGTTTGATTTTCTTCTCTTCCTCTTATTTTGCTTCTCTTTTCTTTTTAAAGAAATTGGAATCAATCTCAAAATAACGTTTATAAATTCAAAACAACAGTAAAAATTTAGCCTTTTAGTTATATTCAGTTGGGAAAGAAACCCTGAGGGGTAGCTCAGCTGGTAAAGGTCTGGGACAAAGTCCTTCAGGTCGCCGGTTCGAGCCCCAGCAGGGCCACTGGAGGCATTACAAACCGGCCGCGTCTCCAGGGCCCCGTGGAACTAACCGTGGTGGACCCGCCTTGAAACAGCGGGACCCGGTGGGTACAGCTAGTCGGGTTCGCAAAGCGACGCCCGGAAACCACGGTAAAAAAAAAAAAAAAAAAAAAAAAAAAAAAGTTGGGAAAGAAAAAGAAAATTTATGTGGTTTAGCAAACATAGACTAGTTAATTAGTCATCATAGCTATAGTTTTAGTTAATTACTACTCACGTCCAATATTCAGTAATAATTATGTGGGTTGGGGTTTCGAGTTTGTATAATTCGCACGTTTGTATAATTCAGAATTTGTATAACTTTTGTATAATATAATTTGTATATCTGTTTAAAGTTCAGATGTATGTGTTTGTATAAATTTGTTATTTCAAGTTTATACAAAAATAGCTCAACTATGCAAACATACCCGCGGATTATACAAACTCACCCACGAATTATACAAATCCGCGATTTATACAAACCCGTGAATCATATAAACGAGACAACTTAAACTAGAGCTATAACCCCCGTAAATATTCAAACTATAGATATAAAACATGATTAAATTTATTATAATGGCTATTTGTAAAAATTTCTAAAAGAAATCTAACTATCTTTAAGTGGTAAGAAAATAAAATTGATATTCTTATTCCCATAACACTTGGTACTCTCTTACATCCTCTAAAATGAAAACATACTCTTTTCTAATTAAAAAAAATATATATGTGGCTTCTTACCAAAGAAACAAATATGAAATCGACACATCAAATTAAGAAGAAAAACAAATTGTTGTTGAAAAAAGAACTGATTGCACAATATAGTAAAATCTCACTAAGCTAATACTTGATAAATTAATAATTTCTCTAAGATAATATTTTTATCTGATCACGACTTAAATGAATGAAAAAATCAGATAATTCTATGAGATTATAAGATAATATATTTTTTGAAGATCCTATATAGATATATGGTCTCATTAATATTTTTTTTTTTTAAAAGTACATATATCTAAGACAATTTTGAAATACGATTCTATTATTTTTTTATTAAAATTTAAACTAGTTGAAATTTATCTCTAACTTTTTTTTATTGCATCCAAAAAATTCGATGTTGCCACGATTGTAAATCTTTTTTAGTACATGTGGAATGTTTTATTTTATACTCACTTAATGATTTACGTATTTGATTTGTCATTGTTGATTTTGTGACACCTTTTAAATAAGAAGTTATTTTTTGATATGGTTTCAAGAAATTTCTTATGTTGCTTATATAGTTATTGTCTCACAATCATACATAAAATGTTTTTAGTAAAGATACATTGATTAATAATTTATTATTAAGAAACAATGAACATTATGTATAATGGATTTATATTTACAATGAATTATACTCATAGATTGTACTTTATGTATAATGAATTTATTTGTTTTTGTGAATTCAATAAATATGATACATAATTTAGTAAGATGCAATGATTTTGATATATTCATTGTACTTCATGTATAATATATTTATTTCTATGGAAATTCTATAAATATTAATAAGATACAATAAATTTGTTGTAATCAAAATTAACCTTCATTAAAATCTTAAAACAGTCTTTCAATTAATAAATATTAATTTATCAATTAAATAACATCTCTACAAAAATAATAATATTTTATAATTTCATATATATTAATTTAATGACATTTTACTATATGTTAAAGAAAAAGCTCATAACATGACAAATTTGACCCAAAGCCCTTTTAGAATTATTCAGTAAAGAACATTGATTGCCCAATGTGTGTACCATAAGATAATTCTATTGGCTACTAGGCCTGTAAATTCAACCAAATAATTTTAAAGGAGAAAAAAAAGAGGGAGGGTTACTAATCGGATTTCATACTACTATTATTACTGTGGTTGTAATAATTTTTTTAAAAAAATATTATTTGTTCTATTTTTTAAAAAATTTTCATATGATCTATTTAAGATGATAAAATTATTCGTTCGATTTCTTTTTAATTGTCATGTATATTAAAAATAATTATTTCAAAATAGTTGTCAATTTAAACAATTAAGAAAAAAAAATATCTTTCCAACTTTGCCCTTAATATTAATTATTCTAAAATATTTAAGAGAAAAATAATAAATAGTGTGTTTGACCAATATATTCCTTAATATTAATTATTCTAGAATTAGAAGTCGCATACAGACAAAAAAATAAATAAAGAATTGATAAGAAATATATTGGTCAAACAGACTATTTATTTTTATTTTTTAAATATTGTGCCAAACATTATTATGACAAGTAAAAAGGAAAATACATATTCATATTTTGACTATAATTTAATTTCAAATAACAAAATTTAATTATGTTTTTAAAACTAGGTGTGATAAGTAAAAGAGGACAAAGAAATTAAAATAATATAAATAATGAGAGTAATAAAGAGTTGAAGAGCAGAGAAAGAGAAAGAGAGAGAGAGAGCATAGGAAATGGCGAAGAGAAAATGAAGAAGTTCTCTCTTCTTGGCATATCACTCTCTGCTTTCTCCTTCTTTACATCCTTCCTCCTTTCTCTCTCTAGATCTGTACAAAAAAAAAGCAAGTTTTTTCACCATTTTCAACACTCGAGAGAGAAGGAAGGAGCTTCTGGTGAGCATTTTCATGTCTTTTATTTGCAGATTGAGTTTTGTTATGAATTTTGGTCTAATTGGATAAAGTTTCTGTTTTTCTTTTTGGTTTTATTTCTTTGCTTCTTCCTGAAGAATTCCTTGTTTGTTGCTGCCTTTTAAAAAGGAGTTGTTTTGTTTTAAGCATTTGAATGAATAGCTTTCTGCTTTTTTTTTTTTTTTTTTTTTGAGAAATGAATTTGCTATTGAGAAAAATAGCATGTGGCTTATGCAATAGGTTTTAATCCTTCATTTTATTTATTTTTTCATTTTGGTAAAGAATAGTGGAGTAGTATTTATTTTTTCTTGATAGTCTGAACCCTTTAGTAGCAAAAGTCTTCTTCACAATTGATGGGAAATCTATTCTTGTTTATGTTTTTTTTTTTTTGGTTATAACTTTGTGATTTGTGTTTTTGCCTTGACAATAGATAGCATCTGTGCTCAAATTTATATAACACTTGGATTCTTGGCCTATGAAATTGCATTTAAAAATGACTGGCTTTTGTCTCTCTTTTGATTATTCGAGATTGTGCTTGATACATTATGTTTTGATTCTATTTCTTTCAGTGGATCCAAGATGAAAGGATGTGCTATCCATTGCAGTTGTTAAAAACCAGATTTTATCAAACTGTAGCGTCAGCTTTTGTATTAGTATGATCACCACCATGAACATGAATCATTTGACTGTTGAAACGGAAGATACTTTTGCTAGCTTGCTTGAAATAGCGGCCAACAATGACGTTGTGGCGTGTAAAAGATGGAAGGAGCATGATCTATCATCCAGTATTCATGAGGTAGGACTGTGGTATGGACACCAAAAGGGCTCAAGGAAAATGGTATTGGAGGATAGAACTCCTTTGATGGTTGCTTCTACATATGGCAGTGTTGATGTCCTCAAACTGATTCTGTCAATACCTGAAGTTGATGTCAATCAGTCATCTGGTCGAGATAAGATCACTGCTCTTCACTGTGCCGCATCTGGTGGATCTCTGAATGCTGTTGGAGCTGTCAAACTGCTATTAGAAGCTGGTGCTGACCCAAACTCTGAAGACGCCAATGGCAATCGTCCTCAGGATGTCATTGTTGAATTTCCAAAGTTTCAGGCAATGAAATCATCCTTGGAGACCCTTCTTAAAAGTGATGCAATGGGAAAGTGCAGCCTGAGGGTGTCAACAGCTACTTCTGACTCAAATCCTCCACCACTTTTGCCTTCGTCTGATGGATCACCTTCTTCTGCTTCAGACTCAACCTCTTCTCCAAGGAGTGCAAAGTCCAACGACACCCCGGTGTCTTGTACATCTGAGAAGAAAGAGTACCCCATTGACCCCTCTATGCCTGACATAAAAAACGGCATCTACTCTACAGACGAATTCAGAATGTTCTCGTTTAAGATCAGGCCTTGCTCTCGTGCATACTCTCATGATTGGACTGAATGTCCATTTGTCCATCCTGGTGAAAATGCTCGAAGAAGGGATCCAAGGAAATATCACTACAGTTGTGTGCCTTGCCCCGAGTTCCGTAAGGTAGCTTGTCAACGAGGGGACATGTGTGAATATTCTCATGGAGTTTTTGAGTCTTGGCTGCATCCTGCTCAATATCGAACCCGACTTTGCAAAGATGGTACAAATTGCAATAGAAGAGTTTGCTTCTTTGCCCACACACAGGAGGAACTCAGACCCCTGTATGTCTCTACTGGTTCCGCTGTTCCCTCACCTCGCTCAAATAACTCTGCTGTGAATGCCATGGATTTTGCAGCAACCATGGGCCTTATTCCAGGTTCTCCTTCGTCAGTCCGTGTCATGTCCCCATCACATTTCACTCCTCCAATATCTCCCTCTGCTAATGGCATTTCAAACATGGGTTGGCCTCAACCAAATGTTCCAGCATTGCATCTTCCTGGCAGCAATCTCCAGTCGAGCCGCTTGAGGTCATCACTAAATGCAAGAGACTTGACTATGATGCCAGACTTTGATGTGCATCAACAGCAGTTTCTAAATGAATTTTCCTGCATATCACAGTCCAGTGTGAATACTAATTCCTTGAACCGTTTAGCTCATCCTAAGACCCTAGCTCCTTCAAATCTTGAAGATTTATTTTCTGCGGAGAGCTCGTCTCCTAGATATTCTGATCAGGCATTAGCTCAAGCAGTTTTCTCCCCTACCCACAAGTCTGCAGTTCTCAATCAATTCCAGCAGCAGAGCATGTTATCTCCCATTAAAACAAAATTTTCACCAAAAAATGTAGATAATTCTCTATTTCAGGCTTCTTTTGGTGTTCAAACGCCGGGAAGAATGTCACCCCGAGGAATGGAGCCAATACCACCTATGAGTTCCCGTGTGTCAATGCTTGGTCAACGTGAGAAACAGCAGCAATTTAGGAGTCTTAGCTCTCGTGATCTTGGCTCCACTGCTTCTGCTGTTATTGGTTCTCCAACAGATACTTGGTCCAAGTGGGGATCCCCTTCTGGTAATGCAGGTTGGGCTGTCAATACTGAGGAGTTTGGTAGGCTAAAGAGATCATCTTCATTTGAGCTTGCTAACAATGGAGAAGGGCCTGATCTGTCGTGGGTTCAAACACTCGTTAAAGAATCGCCACAGGACATGAAAGACAAAGCTGTATCTCGTGTTTTAGGCCTCTCAGGTTCTACTGAAGATTCTACTTCAAATTCGCAGATTGAGCAATTCGATCAATTGAGTGCATGGACGGAGCAAATGAAGCTTGATAAGCTAATGGCTCTGTAAAGACATCCTAATTTTTTTAATTAATTATTTAAAGCAGGTAGTAGAAGAATGGGTTATTGAGAAATGAGACAGAGTTTAGGTGATTTTACTTCAATGTTTAGTCTCTTAATTAGTCAAAAAGTTGTTTCCTTTATTTCATTAGACTGATATTTCATTGTACTGAAAAAGGGATTGTCAGCCTTTTATTACAATTCAGCATTGAGATGAAGTTATTTCATTTTCAATTTTGTTAATGCTTTCTGAGTTTTGGCACCACCATTATCTTAATAAGGACAAAAAAAAACACAGATCCAATGCAAGTAAAGCTATCATTTTGCTGCAAAATAAGTTTCTTTTCTCCATATTGATGTTGTGGTGGAGTCTTTGAATAATGTTAGTGCTTGAAAATGTTATGTAAAGTAAAGGGTAGAGGAGAGTAACCATGTAATGTGCTCCCTCAGTTCAGTGGTCTGATATTTCAAAAAGAGATTTTTACTTTTACATACAATTTTCAATATATCAAGAATCAAGAAAAGATAAAGAAAAAATCAATCATGTTTTACCTTCAATATTAATTAGTTATTATCCAAATCATTTTTAAAATCTAATATTATGTTAAAATAGTTATATTAATCATTGATTTTTAAGGGTCGTATAAAGTTTAAAATGAACAAGTAAAAGTGAATAGAGGAAAAAGAGTAACATGAAGTTCAAAGTGATTGGAATTTGAATCCACATCCCTTGATCTGATACATTTTTTTAAACAAACCTTATCATTCTTTGTGTGTCCAACAACATGATGCAAATATATACTAATAGTCTTGGATAGTGACCCACAAGAGTTGTGGTGGAGTGGTAAGTACTTCTTTATTCTTAATCAGAAGTCTCAGATTCAAATTTCTTTGTCTATGCAGTCGCTCTTGTTAGTGAACACTTTACCCTGTGAGACTTTTTGGGGCAAGACTAGATTTAGTTGGACTTCGATATGAGTTAGAAAAATTTGACTGTCTTGAGTAGTGGTGGATTCATATTTACAAGGCATGGGGAACCCTGAGTATGTGGAGGATTTCAAATCCCAAAAGTTGGATTTGGGGTTTGTGGGGAGGATGTGGACATGAAGAAGGAGAAAAATGTTTTATTGATTTGGAATTCTACCAATCCTTTTGGGGATTGGATGTTTTTTAGTGGTACTCCATATTTTAATTGCTTTGGGAATAATGAATCCTTATATTCTAAGAGATAATGATGATAGTGGAGCTTCATGGCAATAAATACTTATGTTTTATTAGATGCTGTGGAACATTTTATTAGTTTGCATGTGGGCTTTAATATAAAGAATTTGTGAAGTCATTAAGAAGCTTTATATATTCATGTTGTTTAAGCACTCTTTAACTCGGAAAAATTTGGGTGGGGGGTATGTTCATTTATATACTACTTCTATATTCATGTTGTTTAGAAGGATGGACCCCACAATAATGCTTAGTAGAGAAGTATTTTAATTCATTAAAGTTGAAGTCAAAACTTTTTACTCTAATTCATACAGCCATTTTTTGGTATTAGTACTTTTGGTTCATATTATCTATTTTTCCAAAAGGAATTTGAGAACAATTTTTGATATTTTTACTCTTTCCATGTACTCTCCTCTCTCTCAAGTCTCAATGTCTCTCACTGAAAAGGCAAATATTCTTTCCAAATGCATATGTAAGTGTACGTAATTGCACAAATAATATAGATTTTGAATTCAAGTATTGCATTATGGAGATTCGTCAATTTATTATTTATTAAATTAAACTAATGTTCATTAATTATTCAAGTGATAAAATTCAAAAAATTTACTTATGACTTAACTAAATAAAAATAAAAATAAAAATAACTAATGAACAATTAACCAAACGAAGAACATATTTTACGTAATCAATGAGTGAAATCGATCTAGGGATAAGAATTAGCTAGCAATGATGTTGAGTAATCACTTGAACTGACTTTAATTTTTTATGGGGTTACTTGTTGCATGTTGATATCACTTATTTAGCATAATGTTGATAACCCTAAAACTACTTGAGGCATATATTCTTATGGTCGGCGGTTGATAGTGAAGTGCATGTATATATCGTGTTTATCAACTAAGCAAGGCTAATGAGTATATTACTATCAACGTTAGCAAATCGTTCCCCTTTCCCTATAAGGTTCACAAACCAAGCTCTACTTTTTACTATTACACTCGCAAATTTCCTCTCTCGAGTCCAATTTACAAGCCACATATAGTATTTGAATGGTGATCAAGAAAAATAAATAACTAAGCTCAAGAAGTAAGTAACGACACGAGCTAGAATGAGGATAACTATCTTAACAATTCAATTCAAGTTCACATAACAACAATCATGAAGCTACAACAATCCTAGAACGAGAAGCTTAGATCCATATAAGCATGGAGGAATTACTACAAATCATCCAAAAAAAACATAAAAATAAATACATATGAAGATGAAAAAATGAAACTAAAAATTCTCCGGCCTCTATGGGGCTTCTAACTCTTTCCCGATCAAATATTGTGTTAACATCGTGCTTATGAGCTGTTGATATGATAGAAGTAGGGAAAAGTCTCAAATGAAGAAACCGAATCGAAAACAAATTGGAAAAATCAAATCTAAATTGTCCTATTATGATTGTTGTGCTAGAAAATTACGACACATTTAATGCTTTTGACAAGAAATTTACACAAGTATTAAGCACATTTTGTATCATATAATGGCCTTTTATCAATGCTTTAGGTAAACGGCTAAACCGACAAGGAGTTTAAAAGATGTAGACGAAACGGTCCTTGGCCCCGTCAATGGCATCGAAAGATCGTCATTGGTGTCGTTGTTGCACCCAAATACACACGCAAGTGTACGTGATCGCTCAAGTAATCCAGTGACTCTTTCTGTAATACCCCAAAAAAAAATTGAACTAAGACTCGAACCATCCTTCGTGGTGAGTAAAATTTTACTAAGGAATTTAAAATTTCTTAAGTATTAAGGTCAGGTCACTAGAAATAGCACATTGAGTTCCAAAATGAATTAAAGAGATTTCATTCAAGTCATTCCTAGGTTCTTCTAAGTTTTGGGTCAACTTAAAACGACCATAACTTTCAGTACATGATGAGTTAGGAGACCCACAAGATATCAAATGAAAGATCTCCGAGTCCTCTTTCCAACGCCACTGAGTTTGCTAATTTTCAAGCTCGTATGAGGGAGATATGTCACTTTGAAGTCATGTTGTCTATTTAAGGAAAGTTACCCGAAAATAGGAGGGCTATTTTAGTCTTTTCCTTACCCTCACTTATTCTAATGTGAATTACACCCAACTAAGGGTCTAAATTGATTAGAATCAGTTTCATTCATCCCCAAAAGCATTTAGGGTTTTAGAGAGAAGATTCAAGACGAGAAAAAGTTCAAAGTTTCTAGCGTTCGTTCAAGAAATTCAAGATTTCGCCAAGAACCTAGTTCTTTGAGGTATGTAAGCTTCCATAGTGTTGGGTTTGTTCACCCACATGTCAATCATGAGTTTCTTTTGCGAATCTATCCATAAATATTGAACAATTTAATTTCTTGACGAGTTCTTGATAAGTGTTCTTGAAGTTTCCTTATCGATTAAGTTTTGATGTAAGATTCTACTTGGGTCAACTTCAAACGATTATAATCTCTTAGAATATAAAGAGTTACGTGGGCCGTAACCTATCAAATTAAAGGTATTTGAATCTACTTTCCAACGCCACAAATTTCACATCAATCCAATTCCTTAGTAAAAAGTTATGTCTATTTTAGTAACCTGATACAGTGCTGTTATGAATTAGCCGACGGGAAAACATTAAAAATGGTCGTTTTTGTTTTTTTTTCCTCCAACAAAATCCTAAATGAATTTCTTGACTAATAAAAGGCTCAAAACAATCAGATTTTCATCTTTTAATCCATCATTCTCTTCTCTCTCAAACCCGAGGGCAAAACCCTAAGGAAAAAATCAAAGTAGAAAACTCCATTCAAGATTCGTTCAATCTTTTTCAAGATTCTTCTTCAAGGTAAGTTTTTCTCCAAGAATTCTATTCTTTTCAACTCAAATTCCTCCATACAATTATGAATCACTAATGAAAATCATAATTCTTGGCCATAGAGATTTCAAGAAACTAATTCAAGAATCTCAAGAAAGGTTTTCTTGATCGTTTACCTTCAAGCTAGGGTTTCAATGCTTCTAATCAAGTTCTTCTTCAAGATTCTTCAAAAACCTTGTTCTTCCAGGTATGTAAGGCTATCATAGTGTTGGACTAGTTTGTCCTCTCGCCCTACATCTTCTTTCAAATCAGTAAAAGAGAAATCTAGGATTCTACCCCTAGATTTGAGTATTCTTGAGATAAGTTGATTTGTGTTTATGAGTTCATGGTTCTTTTAGAAAAATTATTCCTAATTATTGAGTTTCTATATTTTTATTGAGATCCTTGAGTTGATTTGTTCATGTCTATAATTCAGCATGAACCCTATTTTGAGTAAATATCTCAAACCACAGAAAGAGTTATGTTTTTAAACATATGAGCTGAGTATATTTTTGGGAGTAGTATTGAGCACCGCTATGGGGACGAGTTCAGATAACTCAAGTCTCCATAACCATGTAGCCAACGTGGGTATAAAGGGTAATACTTTTTAGATGATTCATTAATGCTTTTTAGCATAGACTAGTGGATCCACTTAGTTGAGAGATTTTACACCCCGACAAAGTATATGATAGTTCTGGCAGCGTGGGCGAGACGATGTATCATCATTGTCACGCCCCGAGCCTACACCCTGGACGTGGCCGGCACTCGAAGACCATTGTTGGCCCCAAGCGAACCCTTGGTCTGGCTTCCTTAACTCAGCGGAAGACAATATTCATATCTATAACTTAAAGAAATAATATCTTAGCCAAAATGGCAACTCAAGTCTTAAACGATACAAATGAAATGAATAAGACTAAAGAACTAACATCTGACTGTCTATGAAGCCTTTAATAACAATTGAGATGGATGTTGGGACAGACCCCACAACATCCTAATAAACTAAACTAGAAAACAATGAAATGGATCCTCCGGA